CAGCCCTGTAGTGGCAAGTCAGAACTGTGAAGGTGGGGGACAGTCAAAGAAGGTTTTAAGCCTTAAGATGTGACTGTTCCAAACTCACTAACACCAATCAACATTTGAGCAGCTCAAATGGCAACGTGTAAAAATGCCCCTGGTATCATAGCTCTCTAGTTGTGCACCCTCTGCTCAAGGCTTGGGAGCTCTAAGAACAAGCAGAAAGCAGAGTGGTGGAGTTGAGGCCCTCTGTAAGTATTATGCCCTGAATCAGATTTTCTCTCCATGAATTAAGCCCCCTTGGAAGAAGAAGGAGGACATGAATTGAAGTAGTGGGAGCATGGAGTGGGTTAGAGAAAGGAGATAGTTTCATAATTTCATAGTTTCATAGTTAATGAGATGACTGAAGTATTCTCTCCTGGTGCACGTGGAGCCCTGTCCTGAATTTCCTATGCTGTGCTTTGTGCAGTCTTACACTGGCACTGCCTCCCTCTGAGTCATTTCATCCCATCCTGGTGGACGCGAAGCCCAGCTCCACTTTGGGAGGTTCTTTAAACAGCAAAGCAACAAAAATTTTGCAGTTTTACTCTCTTTATGACCTGCCAGAGGAGTCATGCTTAGTCCTCTGCAGCTGGGAGACAACTACTACCTAGATAAATTGATCCCCATCCTCCCCAAAAGGTGGCCAAAAGGAGCAGACTGACAGACATTGTAGTATTCAAAGAACAACTTATCTTTCTTCATTGTCCATTTTGGCAGGAAAATTCTACAGGTAAGCCACAATGGCTGTGTCTACATGAGTGGTGGACTGCGTAGTTGCATAACTGACGGTACGATGCAGAGCTGTCCCCGCAGTTATTTTTAGAAGCTACTGCGCAGTAGCAATGAGGTACCCAAACTAGCTTTGCATTTACTAGTTCAAGTACCACTAGCAGTATACTTCCAGCAGCACGTTTCAGCATTGACTATAACTAGGGACCTACACAAGGCGTGATTGTGCAGATTTTGTGCAAACTGCAAAATCAGATGATCTCTGTGAAATCTGTGAGAAAAAAAATGCTTACTAAAAATAAAATTCTGGGTCCCTTGACAAACATCCCTTTCAGCCAATCAGTGATGAGGGGTGGGGCCCTCTAGCAGAGAGCCCTCTCCACCAATCAGTCATGGGGGGCAGGGCCACCAGGGCCCCATAGCCAATCAGAGACGGGGGGGTGGTGCCAGCTACAATAAGTCCTCAAAAATGGCAGCTGGCCGTGTGATCTGCTCCTGAAATCAGCCTGGTGCCTCCTTGAGATGGGTAGACCCCTAGCTATAATGCATACTTAGAAGTAGGGCAGATTAGCCTAGGCAAAACTCCATGATGCTGCAGCTCTACTGCTCCTGGTACTTGAGTTAATTAAAGATGGATCATGAATACCATGTAGATTGACTGTGAATTGTTTTGCCTTTCTCTGCTGCACCATACCACATGCTCCTCATCAGAGATGTTTGCATAGCATTGAAATGATACCACATACCACTTTAAACTTTCTCTCAGTTCTAGGCAAATTAATTTGTTAACACCGTATCATACATACCTGCCATGATACAGCTTATAGCAGTAAGTGAAAGCCAAAAGAAATAGGATGCCGACCATGAGACCAGCAAGGGTGGCAACGCAGATAACCCATTCATTACCTTTTTCTGAAAAGAGAGAGAGTGCATGTCAGTATTTCAGGCCATTTCTGTTACTATGTCCATATGAAGACCATAAACTGTTTGAAATATTAAAAAATAAAATAATAAAAAAATATTATCACTGCTCAGCAAAAGCCAAACCTGAGACAAAGAGATTATAGGACTTGTGCAAACTCATGAGTAAACCCTCTGACAGAGCTAGAAATCTCCTGGTGGCCTATCATGCCCTTCAACTGCTAGGTTGTGTTCCAGTCATTGTGAAGGGCTCTGTATATCTCATCACCAGGGATCCGGGTTTTCTGTTCACCACAGAAAAACACGGTAAAACCTGGATTTTCTCATTTTAAGGAGAAAAATGTGGGAAACAGCAGGTTGGCACTTGCAGGCTGGCGAATTTCCAGCCTGCAAGGGGCTGGAGGGAGCAGGAGGTGCCATGTACATGCACACATGGAGACAAGCACACAGCAGCCAGGAAGTATGAGAGCAGGGCCCTGCAGGTAAGTCTGGGGGGGAATTGAGGTCCCCATAGGGACAAGGAGTTGGACAAGGCTGGGGCTGGAGCTGGAGCTGGGGCTGCTGCTCAGCCAGGGTGGTGCATGGGGCCTGAGGCTGGAATGTAAGAGAGCAGGAAGGAGCCGTGGGCGGTTCATCCAGAGGGCAGTGGGGAGCTAGCTTCCTGCTGCTGCATGCAATCCTGGGGAGGGCATGGGGGCATGTGCCCCCCAGATTTGTGTGTGGGGTGAGGGCAGGTGCAGGCTGGTAGTTGTGGGCTTGGGGCTCCCCGCTCTGCTACCTTTCCCTCGGGCCCTCTGTGGCCCAGCAGGCAGGACCCAGTGTGCCAGGGCAGAGAGGCTCAGTGCCACTACCAGGAACCCCATGCCATCATGGTGAAACACCCCCTGCCTGCTTGGCAGCATCGGGACATAAAATCCTGCACTGCCACCCCCACTGATGCTGGGTGGGCAGAGGGTGCCTCACCATGGTGGTGCGGGGCTCCTGGTGGTGGCATTGAGCCTCCCTGCCCTGCTTTGCACTGCTGCGCTGGGTCTCAGCCGCTGGGCTATGGAGCAGGGCAGGTAGCCCTGAGCCCACAGCTGCTGGCTCACATCCACCACCCCACCCCACACAGGCTCTGCTCTAGCTGTGCCACCCATGTGGGAGGGAGTGCGGGGCTCTGCACTCCACTCCACTGCAGCAGCTGCTGCTTCCCGTGGGTAGCAGCCAAGGTTCAGGTGCTGCTGTGGGGGGACAGGGGGCTGTGCTTGGGGAGTGAGGGGCAACAGGAGGGCTTGTGGGGCTGGGGGTCAGGAGTGAGGGGCACTGGCAGGGCCGAGGGGGCTGTGGGTGGGGAGTGAGGGGTATCAGTGGGGTTGGGGGGCCTGAGGTTTTGGAGTGAGGGGCAATGGCATTGGCAGGGGCAGGGCACCAGCATATCAGGGCTGCTCAGCACCACAAAGCAGTGTGGGGGAACAGTTACAGCTGGACCTGCATCCTGGTGAGTGAAGGGGGCAGGATAAGCTCTGATTTTCCATAATAAAAAACCCAAAACTAAATGCCAAAATATATAGGTATTTAGAATTTTATTATAGTGTTTGAGGAACTGGTAGGCTTACAAATCGCTTTAAAATTGTAAATATATCAATAAAACATTGCGTTCAACTGATACCTGCATATATAGTGATGTTTCATTTTAATCACAGAAAAATGCAGATTTGGGGGGGGTTTTAGTCAGGGAATTTATGATTTTTAAACAGAGAAAACCAGGATCCTCAGTCATCATTCAGTCTATAGCATATAGCTCTTCAAGGCCAAAACACAACACAGTCGCTATCTCCTCACAATTGAGGTAATGAGGGTGTGCATCCATTATCTCCAGGCTGGACCCTTGAGTGGATGCTGCTCTCCTGCGCTGTCAGCTGTTCCTCCAGTAGGGCGTGTATACTGGTATCCCAACAAATTTCTATTCTGCTCCTCTTCAGCTGAGTATTATAAAATCAAAGCAGGTGACAGCTGTGACTTAGGTCCCATACATGCATAGCTCTGACCAAAAGGGACTGTCTCTTGTGGGGCATTAAGGTGGTTTTGTCTTCATTTCACACATCACCTTATAGCCACCAGGCTGTAATGACTTGTGGCCACTATCTAGATGGGCCACAGTAATTGGTGATAGAGCTGTGAAAGTCTCCATAGCCAAGTAACAATCCCCTGCCTGGCCCTGGCCCTCAGGTTGGACACCCCTATACAATGGGGACAGGAAGAAGTACCATATCAGTCTAGCATGTTATAGAGGATTTCTGTAGCTTTACCAGATGTCCCTTTCCAGACAGTTTATGGGGCTCATTGGAATTGTCAGCTCAGCTTCAAGGTCCCTGCTGCAGCCTGACCAGTGTCACTGATGATTCCCTGGGCAGAGATGCATGTGGGTTCATTCATGATGAGTGCAGCCTGAACAGAATAAAAGTGGTACTCACTGTTACCTGAGGGGCAGCCTATGGACTGGTTCTGGCTTCCCGTTGGATGAGAGACAAAGCAGGTTACTTGACTGTCTGCAGTGGTGTTAGCAATGCATGTGCTGAGAACAGTCACTGTCCCATTGGGGTGAGATTCATCTGTAGCGCTGTCACAGACTTCTGGGACCCACGAGATTTGTGCAGCTGGCTTTCCTGCAGCTGCCTTGCACACCACATTGCCACTTGCGTTACAATTCATGGTGACCTTGGGAGGGACTGCAAGGCATGAGAGAGGGGAAAGATTTGAAATGGATTTGCTGTGTTAGGATGGCGCTTTCTCACTCCTACCCAAGCGCCTTACAAATTGATGAGAATGGGTGTGAAGGTAGAACTGGCAATCAAGGGTCTTTTCACCACATGCCCTCTGGTATCAAGCTGGAACAAAAAAACCAAAAGTACCTTCATCCACACCGGGACTAGAGGCTGTTGAGGCCAACATGTGAACACCAACAAGAGGAAGGCTAAGAACTAGTCAGCCAAGGTGCTCCTGAGGGCCTTTTCCTTAAATTGCTTTGGTTGACCAAGTATCCAGCTCCACCCCAGAAGCTGAATGGACAGGACCATAAGCTCATCTGTCCATTATCCAGGTCCCAGTCTCCTTCCTTTAGGGCAGTGAGACATGGTTTTTGTGTCTGGCTCTGCCACTGAGGTGTTGCATAAGCTTGATCAGATCACTTCCTCTTTGTGCCCAGTTCCTCAATTTGTATCACGCAAGTAATAGCGGTGTTGTCCTGAAGTAATTTGATATCTATGGATGAAAACTTTTACACAGCATTAGGTGCAGCTGTTTGTTGTTCAGAAGTCTTTGTAAACTAAGGGATGTCTTAGGAGTGTGGGACTGTCTGAATTCAACATCAAATGTTTTTAAGTGGGATAAATTTGTTAAATTATAGCACTCTTGAAAGCGGGGGGTTGATTGTGATTCAATATAGTGTTAGCTAATGCTATAGAAGTTTTCACCCATTCAAACAGTTCTTCCAGTGAAGCTCTGCCCAGTAACACTTTCTGCTCTTCCAGTCCTGGGCTTTTCCTGGCAAAAAATGGGTTCCTATCCCAAAATTATGTATCAATTCTGTGAGGCAGCTATCTACTCAGCAAGAAGAGATCACCAGGTTCATTTAATGAGAAACTCCTGGTAGTGACCTCAGGTCTGCAGAGGGAAAAGACTAATCTGTTTCTGATTTCAACACTTACTCTGAAATTTAGAGGCATAACAAGGCAGTGGCACCCTGGACTGTGACAGTATATGGGGCAGCAGTGGCAGTGGCAGAGCCAGCTTGCAATTGCAGTGACTGCTAGCTTTATGTTCCTCACAAGTGGGAAGCTAGGGCTACTGCCCTGATTGCCTCACCTCTGCCCCAAGTTACACTACTGCTGCAGGTGTCTGCAGTATTAATGTGTGTAATTGGGCATCCAGCTGGAACTGGTGCCTTAAAAAAAATGGCATCTGGGAAAAGAACTACATGGTCAGCACAACATACATCTCCTACTCTTAGTGGATTTTTCACTTCATTGTCCCCTCCTTTATGGGTCTAGCAATCTAATTGCTACCTGTGGAGTCATGCCTGCTGTGAATGGAGGATGTTGGTTACTAAGATTGTTGCTCTGGCACCTTTCCTTAATTGGGCAGAAGTCCCCTCTAAGGAATGGACAGGGATGGGTCTTTACAACCAATAGAAAACTTGTTCAAGTCTGTCCCTTCCAGTTACACAGCCAAAGAGTGAGGTTTCAGAGCGCAAGGGGCAACAGAAGGGAAAGGGGGCTGGAGAGAAGGAAAGGAGAGGGGGTAATCACAGGAATTAGAGATCAAATTGTAACTAGGATTATCCCAGCCTGATATTCTTTCTGTACAGGAATCTCCTAGGTTGTGTTCTCATCCTTGTATGGGGAGAGAAGCTCAGTGTCAGGCCTGGGTCTGATCATGTAGCCCACTGAAGAACAGGACAAGGTGTTTCCTACCTAACACAGTCAGACAGTAGCATTGGTGGAAGTTCCCATCACTGGTTACAATTTCACAGATGTAAAAGCCCTCGTCAGTGAGTTGTACTGATGGAAACTGAAGAGTAAAATTCTGCTCTGGTTCAGACTTCCAGTCCAGTCTCTCACTGCAGTTTGTTCTGGTCACCATGTGTGTGTCGTTCCTGTAGGCCAGGCTGCAGTGAGCTCCACTCCATGGTTGTATGTTCCAAGTTACTGCTACCAGACTGTCCCATGAAGGGCTAGCACAGGGCAGCAGAACCCTGCTACCGGCAGACCCGCTGATGTTTTCTGGAGAAGGCACAGGGAAAGGAAGACACTTGAGAAGTCACCTAGGAAACTACTCCAAGTCTTAGAACAATGACCTGTAATGCACTGCACTACTTTATTCGGACCTCTTCAGATCCTAGAGCTGTTCCATGTATTCATAGCTTCAACCATGGACTGCTAATTTAATGTGTGCCTGTGCCCCCAGTCTGTAGGATTATCCCCTGCTCCATACAATCTTCTCCCTGCTGCAGCCACAGTTCCAAGTTTCAGAAGGTGAGCCCTGGTGGGGAGTGGAGCCCGGCTGACCCTGTGGGCACAGCTGTGCTGGAGGAGCTCCTGGGATAACTTTTTATTTTCTTCTGGCTTTGGCAGCAATTGTGATGAAAAATGGTGCTGTGGAGAGCACAGCCTTAGCCATCAGCCTATTCTAGACTACAGCCATTTCTGGCTATTTGCTGCTACTGTGCCATCCACAGCAGGGGTTTAGGTTTAATAGCTGGAAGCTCAGCAGTATCAGAGCGACTTGTGGGTGGTACACACCCTGGTCAACAGTTCATAATACTACCAGCATGAATATGGCATTATATGGTTTATTTTTGTTGTAGCTATGCTGGTGGAAGCCCAAGTGTAGACAGAATTCCTCTGATAAAACCATCCAACATATTAAGTCCCACCTGTTCAATATTTTTGCCCCATCCCACAAAGACAAATTATGCCTTGGTACACTAGAATAAACATGAACCAAATCCTTTAATTTAATGGAGTTAGGTCAGAATTACACTGAGGTTACTGAAAGCCAAACTTGGATGAGTGTATTTATCTGACAGTGGGCATTTCTACACAAGATGTTTACTTAGCAGTGGACTAATTAGATGTGCAGTAAACATGCCAGGTCTACATGTGTGCTCCTATTAGGATGGAGTAAACTAATTTACTCTGCAGCAGGTTAGTACTTGTAAATACAATTACTATCCTGCTGTGGAATAAAAAACTCCACAGCACTGCACATGTAGATTCTGACCCAGCTAGCTGTAGCACAAGGGTGTTTCTGTGCTGGGGCAGTCTGCCAGCTAGCCCCATGGTGAAGCACCCATGTGCCTCAGCCAGCCCTTCCGCAGCATGTTGAGCTGGGAGGAGAAGCCCTAGGCTGACAGGCTGACCTTCCAGCCCTCTGCCAGCCAGGGCTGCTGTGACCTGGCTCAACTTGCTGCACTCCCCAGCATATGTCCAAATGGCAATAAACTCTGGGGTTTACTGCCCTGGAGTTTATTGTTCCTGGGTGCACATTCAAGCAGCGTGACTGTGAGCAATAAAATCCAGGTCAGTAAACTCCAGAGTCTATTGCTTTGCATTCATTGCATGTGTAGACATGCCCAGAAACAAGCTGCTAATGTTGGTAGACCTGTAGAGCCAAGGCAGCCTTTGTTGAGGGATTTTCAGTCCACTTCTTCCCCCACCACCAGCCCCTGCTCCTTAGCATTACTTTCATAAAGTTCCACTCAAAAAGCCTTCACTGCTTATGGAGTAGGAGGCAGAAAGAACCCAGTTATACTTTTGGGTCCCACATGAAGATTGTGACATTGGCGATTAGAAGATCATATCACTTCTAACTTGAGTAAATTTGACCTGGGATTTATGGGACTAGAGAGAGTATGTTGTAGCCTCCTCTTAGATTTAGCTCTGTGAATCTGAAAGTGTTATATATTTGAGTATGTCTGCTTCATGTGGATGAATCATCATGAGCACTGTGTATTATCAAACTGAATAGAAATATCATGTCTGCACAAGACTACCACAAAAATGTCAACATTGATTGAAAAAGGCAAATTCAACCTTTTCAGTCCTACAGAAATTGCTTTTTTCTGGATTTATTTCCTGCATTACAGCAGACAAAACAAACTTATTCTGCATCTTCAGGGAGCTATATAATATTTATGCATTACTGAGCTAGGTTTTTTCTTGGGAGATCTTTGTGTTGTATGACTGGCAGTAACAGCCAGGTGAGTGCCCTTGTGTAGCTAGGACACAGGCCTATTTTACTATCACATCGTTTAACCTAATGTAAAGTGCCTTGAGTCAGAATCTCTGGTGGTTGCTCCCCACCAGCTCTCCTACTTCTGTCCCTGCTGGAGCTGCACTGGCAGTAACGCAGCATTAGGAATATAACAGTGACCCCAAGTCCTTAGGG